GCAGCCGGTCTGGATGGAGGGAGGGAAGCACAGCCTGCCATGCCTGAGCGGCCAGAGCCCACCGCCGGGCTGCCGGGCACCCTGTGCCGCTGAGCTAGCTGTGCACTTGCTCGCCTGCCATCCCCTGCTTCCCCTCTTCTTCCTCCTCCTCCTCCTCCTGCCGCTGCCCGCCCAGCCTCTTCCTCGCCCTCCTCCCCACTGGCCATGAATTTCCAGGGCAGCCCGGGCAGAGCCCCGGGCAGCTGGCCCCGCATGTTGGGGGGGTCATCTTATACGGCTGGTCGCCTTGTACGCTGGCAAATACGGTATATTTCAAGCATTGATTTGAACTAATACAATGAGTTCCCAAAACATTTAATAAAAAGTTGTACTGCATAATTTCTTTAGTAGAATTTATAAAACTATTTTATAATATTGTTTTGATGTACTGAAACATATTGAATTTTCTTTCCCAAAGTACTTGCCTACTTTCATTATTGGAATTTGAGGCATGTTTGATATTGTTGAAAAACACCCTTGTTAAATCTTGATACCAGCAACAGTATAGAAAAAACTGTTTTGTAGGGATCAGATAATTTAAGGTGCAACATATTAAAAGTGACATCACGACTAAGAAGGCAGGGTAAATGTTGAACAATTGGTGTAAGTTGTTCCTTCTACCTTAACACTATCAGGAAATTGCTTCAAATGGACTTTAAGGAGATTTATTGCAGATAACTATCCCTGGGTTGAGGATAGAGTTTCATAAATTAGCTAGATAAAGTTTTGGATATAATGGAATCTTGAGTTCTTCCTGTCAGATAACTCATGAGATTGGGAAGACTCCTGTTGTTTGCTTTTGAGCATTATTAGATACCGTATTTTTCGCACCATAAGACGCACTTTTTTCCAACAAAGCAGGGGGGTGGAAAGTCTGTGCGTCTTATGGAGTGAAGAAAACAGATTATATTTTCCTGTTTTCTTCTCCTAAAAAATTGGTGCGTCTTATGGAAAGGTGTGTCTTATGGAGCGAAAAATACGGTACCTACGTCCCAATGTGATTTATCTAAGAAATGTTGCTGTCTATGAGTTATGCATTACTGTTGTACTGAGCACTGTTTTCAGGCAGTGCTGCCTACTCTGAATCAAGTTAACAACTATTTGTTGTGGAAGAGCAGGCAAGATCCTGGAAAATCTAGGTCCTTTTGTTCAGAGAGTCTCTTTAGACTTGATGATTTCCTGGAGAAAGCAGCAACAAAAGAGACAGCACTAGGCAGTACTGCCCTCAGACCATGTTCATACACCAGATTTTATAATGTTGGAATATATTAATTATTAATTATATAATTAAAGCCAGTTGTTGAGGTTGCATCAAAAATAAGATCAGTTCTTTACCATTCAAATGTTTTTCTTTGTAAAATCAGCTAAAACATAACACATTTAAGAGACATGTTGAGCTGTTTCTTGTCCCCATGTGAAGTTCAACAAGGTTCTGAAATAAAATAATGTATCTGTGTAGGAAGTTGATAGGTATCTCAGATTGAGTGTATTGATTTCTTATGGTCTATGTAAAATGCAGCGCCGTCAATCTTTTACATTTACGAAGAAATGGGAATCTGAAGTTCAGTGGAATTTATATTCAAATCTGATTGTTAACCCCAACTAGAATAGACCCACTGAAATAAATATTTGTATACATGTAATGCACATTCTATTAATTTCAGTAGGTCTGTTATAAGTTGGATTTTGCATGGACAGACTCGAGTTTTAGGCTCTGCTAGAGTAGTTCCCTGAGTAAGTGTCAAGTCCTAATCATTCAGTGGATCTACTGAAGTTGAGATTAACATTTGGATTTAGACCATAGTGTCTAGTAAATTGATTAAGGATTGTAACCTTAAATAACTTGTATTCTTAGCTAGAATACATGGAGATGAAAGAGCTGATAAGGATATAACTAAATTAATTGTTCCATTTCCCTCCATCTTTGCTGCCTTGCCTTTTTGCATTAATCATAGTAGTTTTAGGCAGTAAGATTTTTCAGCAAGTTCATTGCCAGCAAGACACAGCATGCATCTACATTACACTTTATGAAATGATTCAGGCTGGCTTTTCTTTTATTTACATTTGTTGCAATTATAGTGCATCAACTGGTCAGAATTCTAAGAATCATACAATTAATTCTGTATGCTCCAGGAGACGTTGTGTTGAGTTTTTACATTTGTTGCCCCATGATGCTTAGCAAATCTCTTTTGAAAATGATGAAATTTTCAGAATTCATTTCTGCTGTGAAACTACTCAAAGAAATATGTTGCACTAGTAATAAATAGTTGAATTTTAAACCAAATATCAAAAACTAATGAATACTGCTAGTCTGTTGGCAATGTCTGAAGGAGCTCCTCAGAGCATGACAATTACAAATAATTTTCAAAATGGAATTATTTGATAATAATCTTGACCTCTCTTAAAGGTACAGTATTAGAAATGCTTCATAGTGTATGGAATGATGAAATGCAAGGATTATGATGTTGACTAAATTAACTCATTTGAAACTTGTCTTGACACTTATTCCAGACAAGTTCTAAATTATAGGAGGTTCTAGTCACAAATCTTATAGCTGCTAAAAAAAGTACAGGGTCTCTTCCCACAAACGCCAGTGCTGGAAATAGATTTTACTGCCCCAGACCAAGTTCTGATTTTGAGTAAGCTGTATCTCTCATACAAATTCTAGTACATGGGGCATGCTTAAACAGCATGAAGACTCTTGAAAATATATGCACTGGAATGAGACTGTTAGATATAAATACTGTATACTGCTTTTGAATGTTTGTTCAAGAACAAGAATTAGAATATTAGAAGGTTGTAAGTGTACTTGATTTTAAATGGATTTGTTTGTTTGCTTTCTTGTTTATTTGCAGTGTGATGCCATTAGTCTGCTGGAAAAGGAACATGATTACAGAGATGAGCACTTTGATTTCATTCAGTCACACATTCGACGGTTTTGTTTACAGTGTATCCTTTATAATATAAATTATCATTAACATTCATCCTTCAGATAATCTGGATAGCCTTTATCCAGGTTGCTGGATAGCTGTTATCATGCCACTCCATGGCCTCAGATTCCTATATGAAATCTGAGTTATGGGGATATTTCCTGATTTTGGATTATCATAATCTGGCTTGATCATATTTTAAATTGTCTGAGATATTGTGGATACTTGATTTGGAATAAGCCATGGAATTAAACTGGTTTAATATCCTGGTTTGCTCCAAAGTTGGTAAGCCTAGCCCTCTTCAGTCCAAATGAGAAGCTAGTTTATTAGATTTTTCTTTTCATTGTTTGTGCCATAAAGAAAGCTGCAAAAGAACTCTGTGTGCTGGCAAAAACATGTTCATACCATGATTATTAAGACAAAGATACGATTTTCAAAATCTACCCATTAGCACAGTAAATAAGATATACATACTAAAGTAGCTTTCATAATATGTGAAGGAATTAATGTGGGGCTTCCTTTGAAGCTGATGTGGAAACTTCAAGTGGTGCAGAATGCGGCGGCCAGACTCCTTACTGGAGTGAGAAAATACCAACATATCTCTCCTACTCTGGCCATGCTGCACTGGCTGCCCATCCGTTTCCGCATTGACTTCAAAGTTAATGCTTACATATAAAGCCCTAAATGGTTTAGGACCTCGATACTTGGTGGAACGCTTACTCCCAACTAGTTCTACCTGTGTCACCCGCGCGAGCCAGGAGGTGAGGCTGAGGAGCCTGACGCTGAGGGAGGCCCGGAAAGAAAGAACTAGAAACTGGGCTTTCTCGGCGGTGGCTCCTCGTCTCTGGAATAACCTACCTCCGGAGATTCGCGCTGCACCCTCGCTGGGTACTTTTAAGAACCAATTAAAAACATGGATGTATAGGCAGGCCTTCCCTTCCAGTTAATTCCTGTCCTCTTTCCTTTTCCCCCCTCTTTATTTGATTTCTTTTTATTTTTCCCATCTTATAGAATCATTTAATTAATTAATTGTTATATATTTTTTAGAACTTGTTATCCTTATGTTGTAAGCCGCCTAGAGTGGTCGAAATGACTGGATAGGCGGGGTATAAATACAATCAATCAATCAATCAATCAATCAATCAATCAATAAAACTAGAAGTTATTTCACTGGGAACACCAAGTGTATAAATATTTCTGTTTTTTCTTTAACACATAGTTCAGATGGTGCAGCACTTATTTACACTTCGGTAAAGGAAAATAAGAATATTGATTTAGTGTATAAATATATTGTCCAGAAATTATATGGATTTCCCTTCAACATACCTGCTGTAGTTGTGGAAAAAGATGCAGTATTTATGTAAGATTTTTAGATTATATCTTTTGTAATAAATCTGTAGAAAGTTCATTATTATCAGTGATTCTGTAACAAAACTGCCCGTTTTGTATACTGGCCACTGAAATAGGAGACTATTCTAAATAAGGTTTTAGGACAGGGGTGGGCAATTAATTTTTATAGGGGGCCACATGAAAAATCTGAACTGTGTTCTGGGGTGGGTAGTAATAGGCCCCCAATTTGTGGATAGTAATAGGCCCCCATTGGGTGAGGCCCTGCGGTGAACGAACAAGGCTGACATAGTTAGCTCCCTAAACTTTTTAGGGAGTTAACTATGTGAGTGTTGTAATTCGTTCACCGCGGGGGGGGGGGGGGAAAAAAATGACACTGAGTTAACTTACCTGTCCTCCGTTCCACCGCAGCCTTCCTCTCCAACTCTCTTCTATCCTGCACAGGCAATGTGATGCATCATCATGTTACCTGCGCAAGGATTGCTTCCGGCCTCTTGAGCCTCAGGCTCCGCAGCCTGCAGCTCAAGAGTAACAGTCAAAACTCGTGAGATCCCAGCGTCGGATCTCACGAATTTTCCTAACTGCCATGGACCTCCAGCTCACTCAGTGGCGACGGGCAGGCCAGACAGGAGCAGCTCTCGGGCCGTATGTGGCCTGTGGGCTGCATTTTGCCCAGGTCTGTTTTAGGAGCTTATATGAAAAATAACTGTTTCCCCCCTTTCCCATCCCACTGGAACTTCTTTCTATGGTGATATAAGATCTATCAGTATCTATGAGTGTCAGCCCTATGTGTTTATTGCTGTATATTAGGTTGTTGTTGGTGAGTTCAGAAACCAAAGTAACATGATGCAGTTAGTAAAATTTTAATCTCCCTTAGACTATCATTTGAAAACCCCTGTTCCGCTTTAAAGGATAGAAGTCTCTTGCAGAGGATATGATTGTATAGAAAGGCACTAGATCTTGACCAAATGAAATACAAATTGTGACTGTGTATTTATCTTCAGTCCTGCAGGATGGGACAATGAAAAGAAGATAGGAATATTGCATGAAAACTTTCAGGCTTTAAAAGTGGGTGACAGTTTTGAAGATATTATTACAAAGCCACCAGTCAGAAAGGTAAATTGTTTTAAGAGGAAATTTTAATTGTAGCACACTGTCTCATTTGGAAGGATAGATAATAAATTTTAACAGATAGTATTGCAGTCTACTGTTTTCTGTCACAACTGCAGCAGCCTGTTTGGTTGCAAACTTAAGTATACCATCATCATCATCATAGCTTTATTGGCATAATAAAATAAAATTGAATAAAATAGTAAATTTAAATATAAACAAAGAAAATCCAATAAGTCAAGATATACAGTAGAAGATATGTAAAAAAGTATAAGACCAACAATCAAATAAGACCCAGTTGACTAGATTTGGGTAGCATCCTTCTTCTCTGGATAATCAATTTCAATAAAACTGCCACTTTCTCCGATACATCAACATTCAATGTTAAAGAATATACCTAATTTTCTCCAGCTCTCCCTCTTAAGGAGTATATTAGCAAGTGCTAATATTTCCTATTAAATACCCTGTTTCCCCGAAAATAAGACAGGATCTTATATTAATTTTTGCTCCAAAAATGCATCAGGGCTTATTTTCAGGGGATGTTTTATTTTTGTCATGTACAACCATCTACATTTATTCAAATAAAAGTCATGTCATCTTCTGGTTGCTGCACAATGGTACAGTGTGGGGTTTCACTTAACTAGGGCTTATTTTTGGAATAGGACTTATATTACGAGCATCCTGAAAAATCATACTAGGGCTTATTTTCAAGTTAGGTCTTATTTTAGGGGAAACAGGGTACTATTTTAATCAAGTATGATGTCTAATTACATATTTTCAGAAAACGAACAGGGTGAGGGGTGGGATAGACACACAACTATGGACAGCCTATGTATGCATCATTCTAAAGCAGAGGTGTCCAACCTTTCACCTTCCCTGGGCCACATTAGAAGATGAAAATTTGGTTTGGGCCGCATATGCTTTTGGTTTGGGCCGCATGGGGGGGCAGCCCTAGCCATCCTCTGCAGCCCCGCTCCAAGCGCGCTTACCGGCAGCTGCGATCTCAGACAGCAGAGGCTGCCAGCTTCGCCTCTGGCAGCTTTATGGGCCGGGAGGGGTCCACCTATTGACAGGGACGGCGCAATGCAGTCACGCAACCCCCCTGTCCCCTCCCCTCCCACTCCTTCCTTCCTTCCCTCTCTCCCCCTCTCCTGTTGTGACATGCCCTGGCCACATTCCGGCTGCACACGCCGGCAGTGTAACTTGAAACTTTGGAATTTCTTTTAAAATAAAAAATTGCACTAGGCCGCATTACGAGCTGACCTGGGCTTCATGCGGCCCTCGGGCCGCAGGTTGGACAAGCCTGTTCTAAAGGCATTTGGCAACAGTGAAGCTAATTGCCATACTTCAGAATTTTGTACACAGGATGTTACTGCATCATTACTGATGTAATGAAACCAAACCCATCTTCTTTGTGTGCTTGCTGCAGCAGGATGGAATTTTTATGGTATTATAACATAGATACATATTTAGATACGTGGAGGAGAAAATAAGACCAGAAGGTTAAGATTATACCATTCAGTTTGAGATGGACTAGCCTGAATTACAGTCATAGCTCATTTTCAGCTTTATAACATTTTAACTGTAGCAGAAGGATCAAAGTTTAGTAGTATTTAGGCAGCCAGGACAGATTAGCTATAAGGTAGGTATAATGTGCTTTCTGTTAATAAGTGGGCTGTGGCATTACACTGTAGCTACTGAGCTACTTTTAAGGTACCGCGATATAGAGCATAGTAGTTGATAAACATTCTGATTTCAACAAGTAAAAGCTCGAAATCAAAGACTGTATCCTGATCCTTGTATTTGTATCTTGATAAGAATTGCCTTCATTTGACACTGGCAATAAATAAATAAATAAATAAATAAATGAATAAATAAATAAATAAATAAATGTGTTTCAAATCTATTGGGTTAAATGTATTTTAATGTTTACTGTTTGCAGTTCGTACACGAGAAGGAGATAATGTCAGAAGATGATCAAGTATTTCTTACAAAGCTGCAGGTAGTGTTTGATTTGCATACACTCTGTGTATTCCGTCTAACTTCATTTCAGTTGAAGTTGAATTTGGTTACATTTATATTTGAAATTATTGTCAACATTTCCCCTTTAAAATATGTTTCATTTTGTTTTGCAGTCTCTGTTAGCAAAACAGCCACCTACTGCAGCTGGAAGACCAGTGGTTAGTAATGCATACTTAAATACCAATAATTTAGAAGTATACTTCCTATATATTATTTTTGGTAAAGCATTACATATGTTCGTATTCCTGCATTTTTTACCAAAGAGCTTTCATACCTTTTGCTTCTTTGGGACTGCAATCCTATATTCAGTTTGCTAGTAAGCATCTGAACACAGTAGAACCTACTTCGGAGAAGACACATAGATTGTACTGTCAAAGTACTTATTACAGCTTTGTATCATGTTTTGTATAAAAAAGTGATTACTCGCATTTAGAATTTTTCAGATGGCTTTCTAAGAATAGGAAATAAATTTTAGTTGACATTGTTTTCTCACTAAACCTGTGTGTGTAATTACCACTGGTGTAGTATTGGTTGGAATTTAATTTTGAATGCTTGTTTTTTCACAGTAGGAATTATAAAACATTTTTGTAATCTAGATAGTATGTCAGGGGCTCCATAATGTTCATTAATTGTCTGTATTTGATTTCTTCCGTCATTTTATGTGCCTGAAACTCCGCAACCCACATTTTCCTCCTGTCCATCTTTTGCATTATGTCTCTTCTTTGAAAAACAGAAGCATTGGCCACAAAATCCACTTGTGTTAATTATGCAGGCATAAGAGAAATGGCATCTCTTGCAGTGGCAGGTTGCTGCTGATTAAAGTGTATCCACTTCTGTTTCTTACTGATTTAATCTAACCTCACCGCATGTAATTTGAGTAGCTTCATCCATGACATGGAATAAAAATGGGGTAAAAGTGTTTCTTTAATTGCTTGTATAAATTTTACCAGCCATTGTCTAAACTGAACTGAGTATCAGTGACTTCACTATTTAATGTAACTTCCTGCATTCCAGCTTCCTTTGCCCAATTTTGAGAGGAACTTATGTTTCTGTGTGCTCAATATTTCAGCTGCATTGTTTTGTCATGTTTTCAAATGTTATATAGGATACCTCACCAAGAGTCCCTGGAGGATCCCCAAGGACACCAAACAGATCAGTAACCTCCAATGTTGCCAGTGTTACGCCCATTCCTGCTGGATCAAAAAAAATTGATCCTAGTATGAAAGGTAAAGGCATTTAAGATAGCCTTACAGTTTTCCCATTTAAATATTAACTTCATACTTCATTTTGTCAGTAAACATGTCTTATTTGGTCTCTTCAAATACTACTCTTTGGATTGATGACTGTTTTCAGTTCCAAATCAAGGGTAGCAAATACTTAATGAAAGTGTTTATAACTTTGAATGCTAAAATAGATTTTCTGGTGGGTGGAAGACTTTCTATATAAGGTCCAGAGAGAGATTGCTTGGTCCATTTAGCATGTATAACAAAAAAAAAAAATTCAGAATAAAAAATAGCTGAGGGGCCTGACGCCGAGAGAGGCCCAGAAAGAAAGAACAAGAAACCGGGCCTTCTCGGCAGTGGCCGCTCGACTTTGGAACAGCTTGCCGCCAGAGATCTGCCTGGCACCCTCGCTGGGTGTTTTCAAGTGCCAAACTTGGCTCTTCAGGCAGGCCTTCCCTCCTGCCAATACATATTTCCACTTTGCTTGTTTTTTTGTTGTTATCTTCCCATCTTGATTATATTATTATTGTAGATTTTAATTATTGTTTTTAAATCGGTTTTGTGCACAATATATTGTGAGCCGCCCTGAGTAGACTCCTGTCTAGAAGGTCGGGATAAAAATCTAATAAATAAATAAATAAAATAATGTAATTGGTACCTCCTTTTCTTATCTTGCTTGGTCCCCAAGCTCTCTACCTGAACCCTATCTATATAAATCTGTGGCCTAACCATTATGCTCCATGTTTCTGAAGAAATGGACTGTAATCTATAGCACTGGTTCTTAACCTTGGGTTACTCAGGAGTTTTGGACTGCAACTCCCAGAAGCCTTCACCACCAACTGTGCTGGCTGGGGTTTCTGGGAGTTGCAGTTCAAAAACATCCGAGTAACAAAGGTTAAGAACCACTGATCTATAGAAGCTAACACTAGGCATGGGACCGTTGTATTTGATGGACTTTCACTTCGTAATTGGGTGGGAACCCCCTGGCTATGTTATGGGAGTGATTTTACAGAAAACATTTTAAAATTTCTTTTCAGCTGGAGCCACAAGTGAGGGAGTCCTGGCTAACTTTTTCAACAGTTTGCTGAGTAAGAAAACTGGCTCACCTGGAGGACCTCCTGGTGTTGGTAGTCCTGGAGGAGTAGGAGGCACTGGCAGTAGTGGTAGCAGCAACCTGTCACCATCTGTGAAAAAGCCAGGTAAGAATAGTATGCATGCATTGTAGGGGTGGATAAAATGGGCACTTAAATAAAGGATAGCTTCAAATAAAGTTTTTGCTCAGGACAGTGTCTTTTCCTGTATGATACAGAAATGCCAACATGTTACAGTTTAGTTGCTATTCAGTTACTATAATCTTTGCTGATCTGATCATCATTATAAGTTGGAAATGGTCCAAGGATCCAAAATTAGACTGTGTGACAGTACATGCAAGGTACACTGCTGCACATGAAGATCTCTGAAAAGGTGGTTGATACTGTCACCATCTATCAAGTGCAGTTACTGTACCTGTTCTGTGAGAAGCTAGAATCCTTTTTGTTTCAGACCAGTGATGGATGTTGTAAAAATGTGTTGTCATGGTGTGTACAGTTTCACTTTTAATTATAAGTGTCTTACTGTATGGGCAGTGCTGCACGTGTAGATTTTTTCCCTTATTTTGATGAAGACCAAACAACAACCCAGGATCCTTCTTTTGTATAGTGAGCCCATTTAGAGTAAGAGCTGTGTGTGGATAACACTTGCTGTATCAGATGTGGTCTGGGCTAGCATCATGCTCCAGTATGACCTGAGATGAGGAGTCCACAGTCCATGCCCTGGCTTGTCCAAAACTTGTGGCACCACTGAATTTTTTCCTTCCTTCTAGTGTTCTCAGGTATGGGTAAGGGAGTCTAGGTATGGATTTGGAATAAGCAAAAAACAATGTTCTTGCACTGCTTCTACCTTCTTGTCTTTGTGCACTGTTAATTTAGAGAAATGTGCAAGGCACTGAAAAGGCAGTTTACATTTTTTAGAAATTGCAACATTTTAAAAATATTGGCATGTTTACTTAGTACAACTTGAGTTACACTACTGGAATAATGTTTCCACTGTTGTATTGCCTCTTTCTTCTTCGTGGCCTCTGTGAATGTACACAATTGGGTGTTCAGACAGCACCTGCACAGGTCTTCCCGGAATATTCTAGAGCTTTTTCTAAAAAGTAACAAAGTTGTGAATTGCCCCTATAGAGCAGTCTCCACCCACCTCAACCCTCAGTTCCATTTTACCACCTTGGTGACAGGAACTTCTCGGTTAGAGCTCTCCTTATGCTTATTTTTTCTCATCTCGGAATTGAACACAGACTGTTTTTTTGACTATGATTATTACTTGCCCCTCTCGTTTCTGGTTACTGATCTCCCAGTTACGATTCAGACTGTCATTCCCTTCCCACGCTTGCTTGATTGTTTGCCCGTCTTATTCGACCACGGATCGGTTCTCTTGGTTATTCTTCGCTTGCTGGATTGGCTTATTTCCTTAACAAGGTTCCCGTTCCCTTGGTTTGGGTTTTGTTGCGACTCGGACTGCTTTGGACTGTGTACTGTGAGTTATATATTCTACCCCTACTGCTTATGTCCCCATCAGGACCCTTTAGCTGGTGCGCGTCGTGTTCCAGAAAATTGCCCTTTTCATATGGTCACTACCACTGCTTTTTGTTTAGGGGAAAACCATCAGCCTCAGTCTTGCAAAAACTGCAAGAAATTTACAAAACCTGCTCCGAAAGCTAGGCAGCAGAGGCTGAAACTATTTCTCTGGGACAGGACTTTGTCTGCTACAAAGCCCGCTGCTATGGAGACGGTTTCGATGCTATCAGCTACACCGCGCCCAGAGGGCTCAGTTTCTTCCCCCCCACACAAACCAAGAACAACGTCTAAACCCAACAAGACATTGAAAAAACCTTCTACTTCGGGTCGAAGAAACCACTCACCTCGACGTCAACCTCTTCCTCTGCGGCCCCTTCCAAGGATGCACTAAAAAAGAAAAAGTCTTCATCACTAGAGAGTAGTGATAAAAGAACCTCGACTAAAGCTCACCTCAAGAGCATTCCGCCAGTCTCCGCTTCACTCCCCTCTCCTATTTTAAAGGACTCATCTCGGGATCATGAATCCCTTTCCGAGGCTGCTGCGTCACTTCCACCCCAACTGCTAGAAGGTTCACCTATAGGGCTCGAACAATCACCGAGCCCTAGCCAGCTAGAAGATGTTGTTGCCTGTAGGCCAGTGTCTGCCCTTCATAGGCCTGTCTCTACCGGGCGAGCATCTCCTCTGCCTCATTCACCTTCAATCTCGTCAGGGTTAGATTCTCCACCCTGAAAAAAGACAGCAAAGAAGAAGCACATTTCTCCAGATTGACGTCATTCTTCCCATTGGGAAATCTTTGTCGTACCCGATCCTCTAAACGCTGGGAGAAATACAAGTATGGTGACCCAATATACATCGAGGTTGACCGTAAAAGATCCCACCGTTGACAGGAAGAGACTGACACCGACTCTTCCTTGGAGAGGACGTGTTATAAGAGGCACAAGAAGATAAAATATGTTTATGCCTCCTCAACGTCGTCTTCTTCACCATCTCCCCCCAGATCTCGGGTTTCCGATGTCGAGACACATAGTAGGACTAAACATCGCGAAATAAATAAAACTGCTATTCACAGACCCATAGGAAGACTGTTCTCTCCTCTTAAGGGCTGCCTCATCACATTTGTCAGTTGGGAAGTTAGCTTCCAAGCATGCTACAGAAAGAAATAGAGGAAAACAACAGGCTCCTCTGCCCTCACCTTCAGACCAAGTAGTTGATTTCTCTTCAGAGTTGTCTGATCAGGATCAAGAGGTTTTCTCAGAGGCATCTGTGGAAACCACTGTAGAAGAAAAAAACACCTGAGTCAGATGCAGGAGACCCGCATCCATCTTCCCCATCAGAGGATTTTTCCTCCTACATTCAGATGGTTTCTAGAATGGGTAAGGCTTTGAAGGTTGACACCGCACAGCCTCCCCCGCCTAAAGAGAACCTAATTTTTGGGAACATTAATCAAAAGCGGTCCCCACCATTGAGCCTAGCATTCATTCTGACCTTAATGGTAAAGGAGTCTTGGGAATTACCTCTACTCCATCACAGGTGTCCCACCGGGTTGAAAACCTGTACCGTACCCATGGTGACTATACCAATTTCTTATTGAAGCATCCACCACCAAATTCTATTGTGGTTCAATCCAACCTCTGTAAATCAAGTGGAAAGGCCAAGGTTACCCCCACCAACAGAGAGGGACGTGAGATGGATGTGTTGGGTTGCAAATTCTACTCTTTTGCCACTTTTCTCCTCTGAGTGGCTAACTATCAAGCGGTCATGGGGGCATATCAGCGACAGCTATGGGCAAGAGTGCTCCCAGCTCTTGAGGCTGCTCCAGAAGAGACTAGGACCGGCTTCTTCAACACATACGCGGAAGCACTTACAGTGGCCAAGCACGAGACACTGGCCTTCCGACACTCAGAAGATGTGGCTTCTAAAACCTTAACTTCTGCTATTACCTTAAGAAGGCATGCTTGACTCAGATCTACCAATATTGTAGAAGACATCAAGAACCGCATTAAAGAGCTCCCATTCGATGCTAAAGGTTTATTCAATGAAAGAACTGACGATTCCATGGAAAATCTACATAAGATGAAAAAGACAGCTAGGTCGTACACCATCCACCAGCAACCCAAATTTCAGAAATATCAGTGTCATAAACCCTACACTCAGCAACAGTACCAGCAGCGTTCTTCCCAGACCTATCGTACCTTCAAGCCTCAAAGTCAGAGCCGATCATCACAAGCCTCCTCATCAATCACTGCTTTTTGATCACAGGCGTCTACACAAAGGCATCAGTCTTATCGTCCTCCTACGAAGAAAGCAAAACAGTATCTTTGACTTAAGGACACTCACAGTTCAGGCAACATCACCTACCACACGCTTAGCTCCCTTCTACGACAACTGGGCCGTATTACCAAAGACTCATGGGTCCTAAACATCGTCAAATTTGGATACCGTCTAGAACTGGCAGAGCTTCCTCCTCTAGGACGCATCAAATATTCATCCTTCGCACCTGTCCTAAAAGAAGTTCTCATATTTCTCGCAAAAAACGCCATTCAGCAGGTACCACCAAGAGACATTCAGAAAGGCTTTTATTCCCGCTATTTCATGGTACCAAAGAAGGACAGCAGTATCAGACCCATACTGGATCTAAAGGCTCTAAACACTTACCTTCAACCGCGCCATTTTTGCATGTCTACCTTAGAATCTGTTATCCATCTTTTGCATCAGCAGGACTGGTTCGTAGCAATAGACCTACAGGACGCATATTTTCACATTTCCATCCATCTTCACCACAGAAAATATCTACGCTTCTTCTTCGAAAGTACCTTCACCACAGAAAATATCTACGCTTCTTCGAAAGTATTGCCTTTCAATTCTGCGCCCTTCCATTCAGGCTATCTACGGCTCTTTGCACCTTTATGAAGTGTATGGCACCCGTGGCAGCATATTTGCGCTTATACGACATAATGGTGTTTCCATACATAAACAATTGGCTTGTGGTAGCATCATCTTGTCAGAAAGCCATTCAAGACACAAGATTCATTCTTCATACTTTGGACAGTCTTTACTTCAAAGTAAATACAAAGAAATCTCAACTGGCTCCATCTCAAATTATCGATTACATAGGAGCAAGGTTGGATTCTATCAAAGGAAATCTCAACTGGCTCCATCTCAAATTATAGGAGCAAGGTTGGATTCTATCAAAACTCGAGTCTTCTTACCCCAAATATGTCTTCAAAAGTTGTGCAAAGCGGTAAACAGATTCATTCCACACTCCAAGGTGTCAGCTCACCACGGTCAACATCTACTCGGCTTAATGGCCTCCACAACCTCGACTCTAACACATGCACGCCTGAAGATGTGCTCACTTCAGGCATGGTACTTGTCTCTGTTTGACCCGTTGACAGACAGTCCTTACAAAAGGCTGCACGTGACGCCGGAACTAGTGAACCAGCTGAGATGGTGGACATCCATACCACATCTGCTTATTGGTCGACCATTCCGTCCAGTACGCCTTTCCATTCAAGTGACTACAGATGCCAGTCCCACAGGATGGGGAGCTCATTGCGATCCCCACAGGATCCACGCCCTATGGTCCAAGCAAGAGAGCCGACTCCATATAAACCATCTAGAGATGCTGGCGGTGATAAAAGCCTTCCGCACGTTTGCTCGCTTGATTCAGGGCCAAGGAGTGCAAGTAGTAACTGACAACACCACAAACATGTTTTACATACCACCCACCTCAGGAACACGATCCATGTCACTCCTATACTTGACAGTCCACCTGTGGGAGTGGCGTTAGTGGTGGGAGTTAGTGTTAGTGGGAGTAGTTAGTGGGAGTGGTGCTCAGCATGTTTCAACAAGTGACAACCAAGTTGCAGATCCACTCAGTCGCCTAACAACAGTCTCATGAGTGGGAGCTAGACGAGGATGTCTTTCTCACAATCTGCGAGAAATGGGGGTATCCCACAATAGATGCATTTGCGACAGTGCAAAACAAGAAGTGCCCCATGTTCTGCTCTCATGCAGGCAGAGGCAAGAACTCTCTGGGGATGCTTTTATGATTCCGTGAGAGACAGATTTTCTTTACCTCTTTCCTCCCATTCCTCTTATTCAAAGGACACTGAAAAGATTCAGGAAGAGAGAACCAATGCCATTCTTATTGCACCATGCTGGCCTCGATAGTCATGGTTCACTACCCTCAAATTGATGGCCTTGGACGAGTTCAGGCTACCGCTGATTCCTCACCTTCTCACTCAGTGCTCTGGCAACATCCATCATCTGGACCTGCAATCATTACATCTGACAGTGTGGAGACTTCTCCCCTAATTCAAGAAGTCCTGGATAAAGCAAGGAAACCTTCCACCACTCTCTTTTATACTTAGAAATGGAATAATTTTCTGAGATTTGCCCATTCCAAGGGCCTACAGCCAATGCCTGTGTCTCTTCACACTCTCCTCACCTATTTGCGTCACTTGTTTGATTTAGGTCTGACTCTTTCCACATTGAAAGTCTACATTTCAGCAATAGTATCCTTTCAACCCCGTCATTCGGACTCTGCTCGCTTATTCTCTCACCACACGCTTAAGTCCTTTCTGAAAGGTCTTTGCAATATTCGACCACCCGTCAGACCACCCGTGCCACAATGGTCTCTACAATTGGTCTTATGCACTGTATCACATCCTCCCTTTGAGCCCATGGCCACCTCTGATGTTCGGTTATTGTCGTTTAAGACTCTGTTCTTGTTGGCCATCACTTCAGCAAGAAGAGCTAATGAACTGGCTGCTCTTAGGGTGGATGCCCCCTATCTGCAATTCTTCCCTGATAAAGTCCTCCTGTTCCCTGATGTTTCTTTTTTACCCAAAGTGGTTTCCAGTTTCTACCTGAATCAGCCGCTGACACTGCCAACTCTGTTTCCAAAACCTTCCACAGATACTGACCAAATGCTTTACTCCCTTGACGTACGCTGTGCTCTAGCATATTATATGACTAGGATGAAGGACTTTCGAACATCACCTAAGCTGTTTTTGTGTTTTCATGGACCTCATAAGGGCTCCATCAACAATTTCCAGATGGATTGTGTCCACTATAACTCTTGCTTGTGATCTCTCTGGTAAAACTCCTCCAGACGGTTTGAGAGGACATTCCATGAGGGCTATGGCGACTTCAACAGCACTATTACACGGCATTGATGTACCTGACATCTGTAGAGTGGCTACGTGATCTACGGCCTCCACCTTTATGACACCCTATAGACTTGATCTAAGAGCAAAGAAGGAGGCCAATTTCAGAAGGGCAGTATTAACTTCTGTTCTACAGTGATGGCCCACCATCCGGTAAGTGAGCTTGCTAGTCACCCAATTGTGTGCATTCACAGAGTCCATGAAGAAGAAAGAGAAGTTACTTACCCGTAACCATGGTTCTTCAAGTGGACCTCTGTGAATTAACACATCCCGCCCTACTCTACCCTCTTTCCGTCCCTGAGGATTGACTTCGGTCATTATTATGGCGGATAAATGGAACTGAGGGTTGAGGTGGGCAGAGCATGCGCTATAGGGGCAATTCACAACTTTGTTACTTTTTAGAAAAAGCTCTAGAATATTCTGGGAAGACTTGCGCAGGCGCTGTCTGAACACCCAGTTGTGTGGATTCACAGAGGTCCATTGAAGAACCATGTTTACAGGTAAGTAACCTCTCTTTATTGATTCTCTTCCATGGCTGTTGAAATAAATACTCTGATTTAGGAATGGATATTCATGCCAAACATTACAATCATGTCTTTTGTACGCAGGCCAGAAGCCTGTCTTAACTGACGTTCAGGCTGAATTGGACAGAATGTCAAGAAAACCAGATCTGGCCTCTCCAACAACACCTACATCCCCCACAGAAGGTGAAGCATCTTGAAGACACCAAACATAGCCATTTATTTGGTTTTCTGGGGTGATTTAACCTTCCTTCTGTGACTGGAACTAGGGAGCGGAAACTTTTTCAGAGAAGGACAAGCAGTTGATGTATTTTGTGTTGCCCATTTTGTAAAAGGGAACTGTACAGATGGAAAAATGTAACACAATGTGAGACTGGTATTCACAGTACAATGTGGCATTCACAAGTATCTGGATTTTGTTTAAAAGTCAGTGTTAATTCTGTAAAATTGGAAACATCCACTTAATTATTTGTAATGCAAAAGGCTGATTGAAGACTTGGAAAGGTGATATGCAACACAGGCACTTAATTTATATTGCTCTCCCAATCTTTTTAGTTTAATGCAATTTTACAAATTAACCTCAAGGGGGAGGATTTACTAGTTTTGTTGGAAAGAGATCAATCAATTGTTGTTTTTGTGCACCATCAATAAACTAACTCAAATAAAATGTAATACTTCATTTGGAATACAACTTCAAATTGCACTGATCTCATTTGAAGTTTGACCTGTAGCAAACTGCTTGAAGGAGATTGTCATGCCAGAACATACTACGCTATTGAGGAGGTTGAAACTCCTGGGTTTAAAAATTGCATAATCTTGGGAATCTCAAATATCATTTTCAGGTTTACTTGGAGGAGTCTCTATAAGAAGACAGGCATGTATATTTTGGGAACAGGATTGTATGTAGCAAGCAGTAAAAGTTACCCTCAAATTACAGTGTTGCCTCGCTATGATAATCCATTTCACTGAAATCGCTTTTTAGCGAAATCATTATCTAACGAAAAGCATTTCCCCATTGGAATGCATTGAAACCTGTTTAATGCATTCCAATGGGGAAGAATCGTCATTGTCTAGTGAAGATCGGCCATAGGAAAGCCGCTTTGCGAACCGCCGATCAGCTGTTTGAATCGCTGTCTTGCGAAGCTTAGGTCCTGAAAACCCTTGTTTTGCGACTGCGGAGGGAGCTGTCAAAATCGTTGTCTAGCGATAATCAGTTTGCAGTGCAGGGACCAAACATTGTCCAGCGAAATTTCCCCCATAGGAATCACGAATTGCTATAGCGATCGCAAAGAGTCAGTGTCTAGCGAAAAAACTGTCATGCGAGGTAACTGTCTAGTGAGGCACCATTGTAATCAGAATTATTGTGTCCAGAACTTCTTCACATATAGAGCTGCCTTATTCTCTTTTTAAGAATAGACATGGTATCTAAAACATTTCAAGTGATTTATTATTTGCACATAGATCTAGCCTCTTCTGAGAGAATTTAATAAAAATTAGTATACTTTTTGCCTTTGATATACCACTATCATTTTTACATACTGCTTGTAAATAAATTGTCTTCTAGACAGCTTACAAAAATTCAGTAGACATTGCTCACTGTTTTCCCCCCCGAAAAGCATAATTTCTTCTCAGTTTAAAAAGAAACCAAAACACCTGCTACTCACATGTAGCTTGCATTAATTGTCTGTACCTCCATATGTTCAGCTGTGCTCAGGTTCAGAGGTACCTTAAATATTCAGTGAGCTGTAAACGTCTAAGGAATATTGTTCAAATATATAGATATCTTATTTATTTATTGATTGATTTGATTTGATTTGATTTGATTTGATTTGATTTATATCCTACCCATCTGGTCTGGTCGACCACTCTGAGGAATACATTTTAAATACTGTATATAGTTAATACGTAGTTGCAAACTGAATGCTGTAAATTCATTAAGGTTAGATGTTCCTGTCAAATTCAATACTGTGTCTTTCATAAAACCTTATTGTTGATTATGGTGACCAGTTCCCAACAGAAAACATAGTATGATTTTTTTAAATTAAGGTATCCTAAATCAGATGTAGGAATTATACTCCTTAAAATATTATTGGACTGTGCCTTCCATGGTGATGCATGATGGATCAACATCCTCCAGAAAGCTGCACTTATTCATGCTTATTCTAAGGCAGGGTTACTGCTTCATTTTTTTTTTAATTGGAAGAAGATTATATATACGCGACCCAGGACTGGCAGAATTACTTCAGTTGTGTCAACATTCTTGTCTCCCCTGGAATTTCTTCCAGAACAGTGGGCCTGTAACTACTTCCACAACTCTCATCACTTTTGAAAGACATTTACTATGTGGTCCATGAGACTGTTGTTCAAAGTAACAAGTCCAAATCATGTTTACATGGCACTACTTAGGTGGTTTTTCAAATAACAGCCAGTACACATGCCAGTGCCCCCCTCCCGAAAGAATGCGCATATTTTCTAACACAAATGTCAAGTAGTGCTTTAAAATGTTTCTGTAAGATAGATTTCAAAATGGGAGCTTACAGAAATTGCATGGCCTCCTGAAGAAAGAAGAAAGTAAAATCCTGTTGGATGAAGGTGTCATCTCACAACAAACACCTTTACAGAAGACTATACAGTTCTTCATTTCTAATAAAATGCATGGAACAAAATGTACCTTTGAACAGACTACTATTGTATAAAAACATCAAGCATTTTGATGTGCATGTAAGATGTGCTTGAGTTTATGATAGAGATGAGGTAAGTAAAATATCGTTAAATTCATCCATGCCTTAGAGCTGAATTGTTTCTGTTCAACCATATTTGTAACACTTCATTACAGAAGAAAGGTTTTACTATCTTAATGTCTGTAACCTTACATAATATATTATTTCAGAATATAATGGTTTTCTAAATACATTAAACTATTTCTTTTGCATATTATACAATTTATTAGAAAGAATCACTTCTGCAGTACAGTATGAGCAATATAACTTTCTGCTGTTATGAAGTTTTTGCAACAGACCATTTTTCAGGAGGATGAGTTTCAAAAGTGTAGCCTATGGCTATCAACATAGTCAAAACTGCATAAATATTGAAGAGAAGGAAACTGAGACATAAGATGAAAAACAAGTGTGTTCAAACAATTGCAAATGTGTAACCTACTAATGTATAAAGTACATTGAACTTAATTTCAGTCAATGAACATTTGTTAAATGGGTGTAGCATTTAAGAATGTCCTCTATCTAATTTTCAGAGAAAGAGAATTTTATGGAGGTTCCAAGAAAGGAAGGTTTTGTTCAGCTGCCATTGAAAATATCATTTTCCATTCCTTCATTTGAACTTTGTACATGGTTTGTGTCCAACAGATCAAAATCAAAGATTCTTGTGGGATATAAAAGCAGAAGCATCCTTCCAGGTAGGTTGTGACATTAGGTGTTCAGATAGGGTTGATATAGTGGCACTAAGCCCCACTGCTAGCACTGTATATGCAGCCAAAAACCAGTTTGATATAAATTGCTTAGTAGGTGGTGCAAAAACATACAAATTGGCATTTATTACTTTTTGGTTAGATCAGTTTTAATTACTACTAAATTTTCACGAACATATTCTTTGTGAATATGTTTGTGAAACTGGAATTTCCTAGGAATAATCATGCCCCCTTGCTAAAGGTTTTAAAACAACAATAAAAGGAACAATAAGTTCCCCTTAAAACACACTGTGAATGTACTGTGTAACCTTTTAGAATTAATTGGAGCTTTCTAACAGCGATAATGACTTAACGTCTTAACCTTACACATATTTGATGTGTCCTTGCTTATATACTAGCACAGTCAAGAAAGAAACTAACTAAATTAGCCTAATACTTTCCTATAGAATTTTCTTATCAAGTGTTGATCCTTCAAGCAACCTCTCTCTATATTAAATATACATAGATTATTCTTAAGGATTACAGATATTGACCATCAATTGTTGCTATTTTCAGCAGATTTGTAAATTTTATTTCTAAGTATCTTTAGAGACAAAGGCCTTAATCCAGATGGTAATCCCAACTAGAACAGACACACTAACTCAATGGAATTTTCATCACTTTTCCCCCATTCAGCCACAGATTCAAAGAATATGCAACAGTTGGGAATGGCAATTGGATTAGGCCTTATATCATCTTTTCTTTGCAAATTTAGAATGAGCTCAGTATTTGAACAACTTTTATGCTAAAACAAAACTGTGTAACTTAGTGTTTGGAGCACCTGGCTGCAGTGCCTGGGGCAAGAAGTTTGAATCATCACTATGTTCCAGGAGAGGAACCAACCAAGATCACCTGAGTGTGTGTAGCTGATGGGCATTGTTTGCCCTGCCATGTATCCTTGCAGAGACTGTGGTTTGGGAATGCCACTTGAGGATTTTTTTCCTAGTAAATCCTTTATATCTATCATAAGTCTGAGTTAACTTGATGGCCTATAATTATTATGTCAAATTAAACTGGTCAAACAATGTGAAAACTTTCTCTCTGACTGGCTCTAACCTACCTTATATGTTTTGACTGGGTGTACTATACCCCAAAACTGAGTGTGGAAGTTACTTTTTGGATAATGACAAGAAATCTCCATGGAGAAAGATTCAGGGAGTTGTCCCAAAAGTAACTTTTCCAAGTTCCACTCTTAGACTGACAAACATGGGAGGAAAATATTTGCACTTCCTGTAGTCATCCACAAGAGGGAAGCAGAATTAAAGAACTAAATTACTAGTATTAAGACTACATATTAAATCAGGGGTCAGGGAACTTTTTTACCTTTTACCTCCCCAAAAATTTATATACACTGACATTACCTCCTTGATTTGAAAGGAAGGAAATTGTACATTATTTGAATTCAAAATCTTATTGAATCTACACGGGCTGTGTACGGAACTAGCGGGATATATCATCAGTATTAATGGTTGCCGGGCTATGTACTGAACTTGCAGGGTGCAACAAATTTAATAAACATATGTACTATTTTTCCTGGAACACATTGCACACCAGCCACGGGGTGGTATAGGGAGTAGTAAGGTGTCCAATGTGCCTAACAAGTTGCATTAAATTTTTGCTAGCTCACAGAGGATTTAATCATCATTAATGGCTGCCAGAGTGGTTGCTAGAGACAATGACGTGCTTGCTAGAGACCGCCAAAGCAGAGTTGGGGGGAGGCTTTTCCTACCACTTTAATCATTCTGCGTGTGGTGTGCAAAAAGGAACAAACCAGGCTAAAGGTCATGTCACCCACCCTGGTGCCACAGCCCAACATCAAAGGACCAGTGCACTATTTTTTTTAATTAATGGAAAACTCAACAGTACCCAGAGGATTGGAAAAGATCCGTCTACATCCCAATCCCAAAGAAGGGCAGTGCCAGAATGCTCCAACTACCATACAAATTGTCAGAGTATTGAAAACTTACAGGCCTGAACAGAACAGAACAGAGCAAAAGTAATAATGAGCTACCATGTTATACTGGTGTGTAATTTGCTGTGTCACAGTGACTCTGGAGAGGTGGTGCCTTGGATGATGCAACACCTGCTGTGATTGGATAAGAGCAGAGGCTCAACTGTATATATATGATCTGTATAGGGAACATGTACTACCACCTTCATTTGATGATGCCATGCTGCTGCTTTCTACACTTGTATATATGATGTAAATATACGTGTTGTGCTGGAGG